ATACACACACACACATATATACACACACACACATATATACACACACACACACACACCCACTGCAAGCAGGGAGTTTGGAATTACAGGTGCAGCAGTTAGCAGCATTGATGTAGTTGAATACAATGCATTGTGAATGCCCCAAGGATAGAGATAAGGGTGTCTGGGAAATGTCATGAAATTGTGGAGGACAGAGGGTTGTCAATAAGGGTGCCCATGGTGGACCATGCAGTCACTCGCTTAACCTGATTGGATGTGTATGTGATCGATTAGTAATACGATTGGTTTGTAATAGTCAGGCTGAACACAAATGTATAAAGTTTGTGTCTTTCCTTTGTCCAGTGAAGAAGCTTCTGAACCCCCAGAGGTTTTGTCCCAATGGTGTAACTTCAAAAAACGCTCTGATGCTGGGTGTTGAGTGATTTATTTGGTCTTTTATTCCCAACAGCCAGTTTATCAGCAATGCTCAGTGACTCGTTGTTGTGGCAGAGAGACACAGGGTTGCATCAGTACTCAGTTACACAATCTCACCATAATATTAGCAATACAACCAACTCAATACACGATTAACTACCATCTAAACATCACTGGTTAATTGGTCCCATCTATTTTTATCCTTTAGCATGTGGCGGTATGTCCATATGATGTGTTTCAGGAGCTGTGTGAATCCAGCCTGAGTGTCCAGTGGAAATGTTTAACTCTTCAGAGACCTTGGTTGCAGAATTGAATACAGGATCGCTCCCTGCTTCCCGAGGGCACACCACGCACACACTGTCACACACATATACATACACACACACACACGCGCACACATACACACGTGTGCACACACACATACACACGTGTGCACACACACATACACGTGTGCACACGCGTGCGCACACACACATTGTCTTTCTCTCTCACTTACTCCTTTGATCGCTCATTTGTTTTTGAAAGCTTTGATTATACCCTCAATACAGAGAATTGTGATGGCTCACAGTATTGGACACGTCCCTGTTTAATATGTTGTTTCTAGGTCTTCGTTAAAACGGTGCCTGTTTGAAAGAGTAAGGAGGAATAAAGCCATTCTTACCTAACCAGGCCCACTCTCTTGGAGCTGCTTCATTATGTGCCTGGTTTGTAACTGGGCAGTGGGCTATGGGATTAGGATAATGTTTGCCCTGTCTGCGTGACTGTTCAGTGGAATTTGCAATGTCCTGTTCTTCAAACCAATATCTCACACTTTGTGGTGTTCCAGTTCCATGATAATCTTTCATCATTCATTCATGGGATGAGGGCCTCACTGGCTAGGCAGCATTTATTGTCCATGCCTAATTGCCCAGAGGGCAGTTAAGAGTCAACCACATTGCTGTGGGTCTGGAGTTACACGTAGGCCAGACCAGGTAAGGATGGTAGTTTCCTTCCCTAAAGGACATTAGTGAACCAGATGGGTTCTTCCGACAATTGGCGATGGTTTCATGGTCATCATTAGACTCCTAATACTTTAAAAATAAAATGATTGAATTCAGATTTGCCATCTACTGTGGCGGTATTCTAACTCAGGTCCCACAAACATGACCTCAGTCTCTGGATTAACAGTCCAGTGATAATACCACGAGGCCGTCTCCTCCCCTCTGCACACAGGCTCTCCAGTGCAATTTCAGGTGTTACATAGAACACAGAACAGTACAGCACAGTACAGGCCCTTTGGCCCACGATGTTGTGCCGACCTATTATCCTACTAAGATCAATCTACCCTGCATGCCCTACATTTTACTATCCTCCATGTGCCTATCCAAGAGTCACTTAAAAGTCTCTAAAGTATCTGACTCCACTACCACTGCCGGCAGCGCATTCCACACGCCCACATGTTATTCAAAATTCTGAGCAAGAAACTTGTTGAGTTTTTGTCTGTTCATTGCTTGCTGACTGAAAGCACCAAAATCACACATACACAGGAATCAATGTTATTAAAAAAATCTTTGAGTAACTTCTCACAAGTGAAAGAACAGCAATTGCCTGTAACTCAGTGATTTTTGTTCAGTCAATTCTTGTTCTTCAATTTCCTGTTTTTTGGCTCGGTGTCTTCATTCCTCAAATACTACGACCTGATAGAACCAGAAAACAGCCTCTGTTTGTGGAAATGGTGCTGCATTAGCAACAACAGTGATGGAGAAAACTTTAACCAAAAGTGAAATTAACTCTAACCTTTTCTTTAGAAAAAGACGTGTGTACTTGTAAGCTACTAAAAGGTTTGCTGGTGATTAACTGCATAATCTCACCATTGTGAATATAAATTTGCAGCGTTGACAGAGGCATGTCTGTTGAGGGGATGTTGGATCGAATGCAAAAGTAGGAATAGTAAAGTTACCATAGTCCCCACCAGATTGTAGGGCTGTTCTCTCTTTAGAGTGAGCCAACCTGGCAGTGGTTTACCCTGATGGGTATCACACAGATGAGGAGGAGAGTCCTTCATCGTAATCCCAGCTGGTGCAGGAATTGAACCCACCCTGTTAGCATCACTTTGCATTGCAAACCAGCCATCCTGCCAACTGACCCCATCATTGTTTGTGTTGATTTACCTCTGCATCTTTTTCCACTTTTACTTACCCCACAGCAAGGTCCTTCTGTCCAATGAGCAGACCGCTGGGGCTGGTAAATTTGGAAGAGAGAATTCTTGCTGATGTGATTTAAAGGGCTGCAGCACCAATTAGAGTCATAGAGATATACAGCATGGAAACAGACCCTTTGGTCCAACTCATCCATGCCAACCAGACATCCTAAATAAATCTAATCCCATTTGCCATCATATGACCCACATGAGGTTTGTAGCTCGGGTTGTGGATGTTGTGGTTGGTTGGCTCACCGAGCTGGCTCGTGATTCTTCATGGAGCCGGTAGCGCGCGTCGCTGATCATTACCTTCACCATCCTGTGGCCATCTTGCAGAACAACGACCCAGCTCAGCAAGCCAATCACAACATCCACAACCCGACCTACAAATCTACTCTAAAACCTTAGACACCTATGGGCGAAGTACGCTCAAATTGGCATGAAAATGGGAGAACTACGCTAAGTGACAGTGCGCTACCCACAAACAACTCTACTTCCTACACGGATGCCTCAGGAACCAGAAATTACCACCCAGTGTGAGATACAAACCACCCATCAACAACCCACAAGCTCATAGGACAGCAGAACACAATGGCCGCAGGATGGTGAAGGTAATGATCAGCAACACATATGAGAGAGAAATGTGGAACAATGAACCAGCTTGGCAAGCTAACCAACCACAACATTTACCCCATGTCCCTCCTTATTCATGTACCCATCCAGATACCTTTAAAATGTTGTAATTGTACCAGCCTCCACCACTTCCTCTGACAGCTCATCCCTTACACACACCACCCTCTGTGTGAAAAAGTTGTCCCTTAGGTCCCTTTTAAATCTTTCCCCTCTCACCTTAAACCTGTGCTGTCCCGTTTTGGACTCCCCCCACCCTGGGGAAGACACGTCGCCTATTTACCCTATCCATGCCCCTCATGATTTTATAAACCTCTATAAGTTCACCCCTTAGCCTCCGATGCTCCAGGGGAAATGGCCCCAACATTTTGGCCTCTCCCTATACCTCAAATCCTCTAATTCTGGCAACATCACTGTAAATCTTGTCTGAACCCTTTCAAGTTTCACAGCATCCTTCCTATAGCAGGGAGACTAGAACTGCACACAGTATTCCAATAGTGGCCTAAGCAATGTCCTGTACAACCACAACATGACCTCCCAACTCCTACACTCAATGCACTGACCAATAAAGGTAAACTTACCAAATGCCTTCTTCACTATTCAATCTACCTGGGACTCCACTTTCAAGGAAATATGAAGCTTCACTCCAAGGTGTCTTTGTTCAGCAACACTCTCCACTCTTCAAAATGTAGCACCTCACATTTATCTAAATTAAATTCCACCTGTTGTTCGTCAGCCCATTGGCCCATCTGATCAAGATCCCGTTGAACTCTGGGGTAACCTTCTTCGGTGTCCACTACACCTCCAATGTTAGCGTCATCTGCAAACTTACTAACCATATCTCCTATGTTCACATCCAAATCGTTTATACAAAAAGCAATGGGCCCAGCACCAATCTTGTGGCACACTGCTAGTCACAGGCCTCCAGTCTGAAAAGCAACCCTCCACCACCATCCTCTGTCTTCTACCTTCAAGGCAGTTCTGTATCCAAATGGCAGGTTCTCCCCATATTCCGTGTGATCTAACCTTGCTCACAAGTCTACCATGAGGAACTTTGTCCAATGCCATACTGAAATCCATATAGATCATATCCACCGTTCTGTCGTCATCAATCCTCTTTGTTACTTCTTCAAAAAACCCAAGTTAGTTAGACATTATTTCCCACGCACAAGGCCATGATGACTATCCCTAATCATTCATTGCTTTTCCAAATACATTTAAATCCTGTCCCTCAGGATTCCCCTCCAACAACTTGCCCACCACTGATGTCAGACTCCCCTGTCTATAGTTCCCTGGTTTTTCCTTACTACCTTTCTTAAATAGTGGCATCATGTTAGCCAACCTCCAGTTTTCAGCACCTCACTTGCGGCTATCGATAATACAAATATCTCAGCAAGGACCCCAGCAAGCTCTTCTCTCGCTTCCCACAGAGTGTTAGGGTACACCTGACCAGGTCCCAAGGATTTATCCACCTTTAAGATGTTCAACACCTCCTCCTCTGTAATGTGGACATTTTTCAAGAGGTTGCTATTTATTTCCCCAAGTTCTCTATCTTCCACATCCTTTTCCACAGTAAACAGATACAAAATACTTGTCAAGGG